CAAAAACGAGCAGTGACGTATAGCATATGTCGCGCGTATATATTGTGCGCGTGTTTGTATATAAAACTAAACGACCTATGTACCAGGAAGTGAAATATGTACTTTCGAGGAATTTTCTCGTAACTCTTGTCGCACTACTAAAATCTCGTAATACTTGCGTACGACATAAGTACACACTTTTCATTTTCACATTTGTCTTGTTTCATCACTAACCTATGCTAACATAATGTTCTTTAGCGTCTAATTTAGCTTCTCATCACGTGGAACTTACGTAGAAATAGCGGAAGAACGTTTTTATTATTTGAGAAGCCTTTGAAATTGCGCTTCTGAGAATTTTTCTTTCGCAAACAATCGATCGAACTTGAAGTTGGCTCTTCTCTTCCTTCTGCTCTTAGATCCTAATGTGCAAAAGATTTTTAATGAGTTTGATTTTTCAAAAAACCGCGCGTGTGAGCAGAATTGTTTTGGTTTCGCTTCCGTCTCCCTGGGTGACTGTCAACTTCCCAGTGGGGTCAGAACGTTCTGTTATTTCTCGAAGTGTGCTGCAGGTCATTCGGATACAAAATAGAACACAATTGAGAAAAATACAAAATTTGAAAAATATATGCGGGAAGCTATAACTTCACATCACAGGTGTCATTGACAGAATTTCAAGTAGCACCGCTAAACAAACCGGCAGGCATCGGAGAAAAGAACTGCAATGGTGGGAAAAAAAAACGCGGAGGAGAAATCGATCGAATAGACTTTTGATGGCCGATCAAAGGTAGCTGGAGAATGGCCGAGAATGCGGGAATAATTTGCGAGTCGATCCCACCATTGTCACATAATACGCACATCCCCGGGTCACTGCGAGCTTTACCGTGAATATTCATCAACCAGTTTGCCTTCATAACGAACTCCGTCAAGTTCCGTTTGGTCTGTTGGTATCAGTCGCGTCGGTTCGCAAGGTGAGAGTCTTACCGATCGTCCCGACGGATCGCTACGATAACAATCGATCGTCCCACATTATCGGACTTCGCGTTATCCGAGACAAGATGTTGTGGTATCGTAGGTACGTACCAAAACGCGAGTATCGCGTTATTTGTTTTTTTTTTGGCAGAATGTTTCCGAATTAATATATACCGAGTTTGTGTCTCTCGCGATTAGCGAGACGTGTCAAGGATATAAGCCGATCGTCGCTCGTCATAATTGTTTTATCCTTGACGAAATTATATCTTTCTTTTTAAACTTCTCCGACATAATTTTGCTGAAGAAAGATGCAGCAACATTAAAGTTATCTAAAACAATGTTTTTTTTTTTTTTTTTTTTTTTTTTTTTTTTTTTTTTTTTTTTTTTTTTTTTTTTTTTTTTTTGAGAAGAGCAGTTTTTATCTCGCTTCTTCCTTTCTTCGAGATTCTCTGTGGTGTTAGTGGTCAGGTATGTAATTTTTTTTTTTGCCGCAAAATTATTCAGCTTCGTAAGCAGCGGCATACTTCTTGAGTACGGTCTTTGTTTTCACGTCAAAACTGTAAACGAAACGCGAGAGACACGTGTAAAAAAGAAGAGATACACGATACGGTACTTGATGTAGCGCGTCTTCGAAAAAGTGGCACGGTCACTTCTTTCTCGCGTCGTCGATCGAGATTTTAAGAGCAGAGATTTTTTTTTTTTTTTGTATTAGAACAACTTTTTTGTTTCCAAGTTTTTCTTAAAGCAGTTGGATCTTACGATAACGCGAGACTTCGAACATCCCGCTCTCTAGTAGAGATTAAACCAGTAAACTGGTTAGAAATTGCTAAGTTCGAGCGACGCTTGTTTGACAGTAACTCTAGACAGTAGAACTGATCAGTTTCTAACTCAATTTCTGATCGACACAAGGCTGTCACTGATTAACCCGATCAAATTCAGACTAGTCTGTAATTAGAAAATAATAATCAAGATATTTCGAGTTTTTACTGGACAAAAACTAGTTTTATTTTCTGATGTATTTAATGTTGCTAATTTCTGACTAATTTGTAGCCAACTTTGATGTTTTGGTTAGAAAGTAACAACCAGAATGTGTTAAGTTTTAGTTCAGAAACTCTACTTAGTCATCCTTTACTATTCTATTTAACTTGGCTAGTTTCTAATTAGTTTTTGACTAAAAAATATTGACGAGAATCGAGTTTTTCTTGCCAAAAACTAATCAACGTTTGTTCTTCTGTAATTAGGTTTGTGCTGTCTTGGAATTTGATCAGGAGAAATATTGTTTTAATATATCTGCTAAAACTATCTAGAAATTATTCAATTTTGTTTAAACAGAAGTCTTGTATCTAGTTACCGGTCAGTTTCTGATTTTTTAACGTACAACAATGGCCTCATATGCTCTACATAATTTTTTCTCTGTCTTGATGTTGTTGCTCAAAGAGCATCATGTTTCCCCTATTTTATTGTTGAGATCTAATTTTTTTGTTCGTAGCATCGAGAAGATTTATTATTTAGACGTGTCAGAAAATTTATACAGGTTTGATCTTTGGTTTGAAGTGCGGACATCCAAAAATTGATATGCTTGCTTGAACAATTATCCATATAATACGTGTGTTCTGCTTTCTCCGTACACACGAATGGATTTTGGGTGTAGTTTTTTTTCTTTTTAAACCTATAAAGTGGGACAGAGTGTATAAACCTATGGTTATAAGTAGAACTCCGTTATATGACGGGAGAACTATTTTTAACATCTCACCTGAGATACATCACTAATTTCACTGGAACGCGTGTCCTTAATCAGCTAAAGATCGATTTAACGATTGTTCTCTCCGGGGCAAAAGAATCTCTCGACTCGTTTAAAAGAAAAATATTTTGTGTGATTTATAATAACAAAAACCACACAATGATGGTAATAATGGCGCAAAAACACGTATTTATTACATGTTGTTCTGACAATAATTATCACCTTAATCTGTCGTTTTTCATCATTTACTTGGAAGAGACAGCAATTAATAATTTTTTGTTTCGCAATAAACGTGTCTTTTAAATGTGCTCGTCATCAAGGATAAATTTACATAAAAACAATTTCCTTGAACTTGATTTATTTAAAAATTATACTTTTATTTTACAAAGTCGCGAGTTCATCGCCCGTCGTCTCGTTGTCTGTGGTCTTAAATCTTTACGCGCGTTAAAATTATTACACTTCTTTTAATTCTGTTTTTTTTTTTCGTGACAAGCAAAAAGCGAATTAACACGAATTTCACAAGATCCGAGTTAGGTATAATACATTTTGAATTTCACCATCTTCCGCGACAAGAGCGGAAACGAAATGTTAAAATTGCGCGTGCATGCGCAGTACAATTCCATGATGTGCACATTTTTTGCACTTTGATTTTTAACGATTGCATAAATGTTCATTTTATTCGCGATTAACATACAAAGCGAACTTTCATGAACCTCCGGTAGAGGCGTATATGGTTGAATATTCATACATGAACAAGCACTTGGATTCTATTGCGAATTTCAGCGGTAGTTAATACACACAATTGCGCGCTTTGTAATGGATAGATCAGATCTGCCGCGTTTTATTGATCATTAGTTTAATGGAGAACAGTCAGCTTCACAATCGTTCAATTGACGGATGAACTAAAAAACAAATTCACAATTTTTCTTTTTTTTAAATTGAACTGCGAAGTAAAATTTTTTACTGTACTCATCACTGTATCGTGTGACGATTGTTTTTCATCATTAGATACTTATGTATGCAGAAGAATTATAATGTAAGCGATATACGTTTATATATACGTACGAGAGGAAAAGTTCTCGAAAAAAGAGTTCTTGAAAAAACATTTGTACGATCAGAAGTATTATTCGTGCAACGAAATACGATTAAATTAATCAGCATGTAATTGTGGTTCCGAAAATGTTTCTTGTTCTGATATTAAATCACTTCGAAACAACATCAATGAGATTAATGCTAATTATGCAACACGTCGCGTGATATTTCTCCGTTTGCGTGCTATTGCGATAAAGAAAACTCAAGCAAACTTCCTTTTATTATCTTTGATTATTCAAATAGAGTCGCAATATTTCCAAATTACGATAAGATAGTCTTCAGGAAACAGAACTTTTTTTTTTTTTCTCAAGAGAAACATCTTGTAACGTGATGATGTGATGTCTTCGAGAAAAAATTACAAAAAGTGATTACTTAATTTCGAAATTAAAATATCCACCGCATAAAAATATCCGCACACATTGAGCTTGATAAATTTAGAATGTGTTACGGGGAATCGGTTGTTTATAATTAACACAGCCCCGGGGAATTACAACGAAAAAGTTACTTGCATTGTCCGAAACTGTGCTGCTGCTGCGACGTTACATGGAAATCGAAGATGAAGACATCGGATGTTCCTATTAAAGTGTGTGACGTCGTGACGTGCTTGATGACATTGCGTCACACAAGCTCATTACGCCACGATTGTCAGACGCATACAAATCGGATGTTTGAGAAATTCCGTTTCTTTTTTTTCTGCAACGCGCGCGCGACACGCCGAAGGAAAACATTGTTTGCGCAAATGATCTTCCTCTTTTTTCAATTCATATCTTCGCAACAGAAAAATCCGTTTATTTATCTACTACAGAACATTCCACTTCTACAGTAGGTTTTTTTTTTTTTTTGAATAATTTAAATAATAATTTGAATGTGAATGATCGAAACGCGTCATGCGTCAAGTAGTGTTTAAAGACGTTTTTGTGAAACTTCAAACTTTTAGCAGTTACATAACCTTTCGGTAAATTTAACACATATCGAACGAGGTTCGCATTTAATGTCAAATTCCAAAAGTAATATCGATTGAAATACACGAGAACATATCAAAAGTAAAATAAAACACAGAGTCTGTATTGTTTTTAAACGAAGACAAAACCGAACTGTAGACTCGACTATGTGTGTTTTCATTAAATAATCTACTTTTACAGCATAAAAACGCGCAAAATTGATTGAGCAATTTAGAAAATTCACATCGTGAATTAAACAAGTGATTTTTTGTTTGCAGGAGTCTACGGCGAATTGCTCGACATGAGGAGCCGGAGTTCAGTAACGCCAGCATCCTGAACAGCATGGAAAAGTTCGTGCGCACAGTGAACGAGATGGAGGACACCATCCTGGTGCCGAGTCGTCTAATGGATCTGGCCGTAGGCGACGCGAGCGACACAACTTGCATGAAGGGCAGGCGCGGTCATACTGTGAAGGATACAATGGCCAATACTGATCTTTACCGCCTGTACAACATCATCAATCAGATGAAGACCGAGCTACTGTGGTCGCAGGAGACGCGTGTCATCGAGACAGACGATCAAATCAAAAATCATCCGATCGGTAGTCCAGATCTGATACATCACCATCCGACTGGTGTCAGACTCGGTCACGTGCGTTGTCCGAGTACCACGTCGATGCAGAGTGTGCAGAGCGCATCTTCGATCGTGTCTACGTCGGACTCGGACTCCGAGATTGGCATCGAGATCGACAGCGGGCTAGAGGGCGAGGAATGCACCGACCTGGCGACTGTTGCCGCTGAGAACTTCCGACGTCACCTGCGCGGTCTTCACCGTAGCATCGCTCGCATGACGGAAGCTGCTGAGTACTTGACACTGCGGTATCAGGCTGACGTGGGTGGGCAGGTCTGATTCGACGCTGTCGCTGCCGTCATTATCTCACCATTGTCGCAGCCTGCGCGATCGTCGTCGCGTTAAATTCGTCTCGCGAAAAATAAAATTTGTGAATATAACTTTCGTGCCTTCTAGCTCCGTAAGAGAACGCTGATTTTGAGAAAGCAGCAAATCGCAATCGGCGAACTACGTGATATCAGTGTTATTTTATCACGTAGCACGATAGATAGCGAGAAAAGTGTGCGCTGTTTTATGTGCTTGAACATAAATGTATGAAGATAATAAATTTATTTTTTACTTCATATATTTAGCAAACACACATAGTGCAACATAGTGAATCGTCATTGGTTCATGGGAATCCTCTATAAATAACCAAAGAAGATGTCTTGAAAAATATCTTATAAAGAGAAGACTTAAGAATATAAAATGATAATTAAATGGGTATGTATAATACAAACACTTTAATTTATTATTGCACAAGAAACAGAATTATATACATATATATATATATGTATATATCTCTTAAAAAGTATCTTACAAAAGAAAAACTTTTAAGAATATAAAATGGGGATTAAATGGGATATGTATAATACAAACACTTATTTTATTTTATTGCAAAGAAACAGAATTACATACGTCAGCTAGAAGGCACGACAAAAATAAAAAGATAAAAATAGTCATTAAAAATTACTCTCGTTAAATACGATAAAAAGAGGAATTAAAAAAAAAAAATATCATTATGTACAATTAATGTTATTTTCATTCAGACTGGAATTATAAATAAAATTCACAAATTTTAAATAAAACTTTTTTACGTGATTATTTTCTTACTTGCGACACATATTACATTGCATTTCATTGTACAATTTTCTTTCGATGAAGCATTGAAATTTGATGTTGTGTTTCGAACTTTATTTGCACATTCACAAAAAAAAAATAATATCAATAATGTACAAGAAGATTATATACTTTTTGTTTTGTCGATTTGATGGACATGTAATTTATCTATTCTCCATTCTTATTTATAAGAATATCTAATAATTTTGAAATTATCATTAACTCGCGCGTTTTAGATCAGATAATTTTAGAAAATATCAAAACACATCGAAGGAATAAGATATGAAATTATTATATGTAAACAACGTATATTTAAACGTGTTTGTAAATTGTGAAGAAAATTATTGAGATCCGTAATACACACACACATAGAGGTAACTCGTGTATATATCATTTTTGAATATTAACTTACAATAATACACAAAAAATTTATTGTAATATAAAACCAACCCTATGACCAGCGTCTTGTAGTAAAAAAAAAAAAAAAAAAAAATGTAAATTGTTACGTGATACTTCTGAATTGTAAATACCGCTACATCGGGAGAATGAGTGCATTTTTGAACGCGGTTGAATTAAGATTGTACAAAACTTATAGTCTCGTAATTCAATGTTGTGGCGCAATAAAAGCTACTGCGTTAGCTTGATCTAACATTTCTTTCTTTGTTTTTATTTCGCGAGCGAATTATTAACCTTATCGAGTTGCATCGCAGCATGGCAATTGACATTAGCGTGTAAATATTATTATTATTATTATTATTGTATACGTAATGTGCAACGATTATTTATTTCTACGATTGTAAAATTAATGAAAGATAATTGTGTTTAGGTTAAGTTGTGTGAGTTGTGAATACAACCGATCGCTCACTGTAAGTTAGTTGTAAGAGAAAGATAATAACAATGATCAGCACAACGTTTGCAAAAGTTGAAAACAATTAGAATTAATGATATAGAAACTTTCGTTTAGAGAATATAGTTGGAGAGCCAGTGAGATGCTTTCTCGGACACACGTCGATATTTACCGAAGCATTTTCGTCTGTAGAATCTTGCGCGTCATATTTAAGCGCGTCTACAGTTTAAGAAATTTGTTAAACAAATAAAAAAAAAAAATTTATAAAGCGCGAACAAATAATCTTACAATGAGAATCGGTCTGCTCAACGTAATAAATCACCGTTGATCCGTTATTGTAATGGTTTTTCGTGCAAATTTTATTTATTATCGCAACATGTGTTATTTTTAATAAAAAATGGTTGAATTCTTCAGATAAGTGTGTTTTTCCTATATTCTATCTCTTACTATACAAAACACAACGTGTTCTACTTCGTATTCATGATCTGTTTTACAAACTTTTTGTACAAAGCGAATAATACGCATACGTGTGAGCTTTATTTGTCCTTGTATATATATTTTGATCGTATACATATATAGGAATAAATAGAGAATAAATTTTTATAGTAGTAATGTTATAATGGTGCCATAAACGAAACCAGCGGAAGTTCATGTATTGTTGCATTGTGAACCACGTACAATTTAGAAATTTTAGATTTTTTGATCAAAGGATCTTGAATAAATAATCTGAATCTGACAAAATACTTATGAAGTATCAGTGTATGTTGACCTTCTCTTTATTGTATTGAACTTAAAAAACAATCTTCAAGAGAGTTTTAGTCTTTTATGATTAAGTTTATGATTGATTCTGTGTTCTCTCTCTCTCTCTCTCTTTCAAGATTTTGTCTATCGATTGATAATTTGATTCATTCCATTTGTCTAACGCGCCGACATTTCTATAATTTTATAAATTTTTATTTAAACTATAAAAAACGAGAATCTTCAAATAACGTTGTGTATACACGCGTATCTGTCAAATTAGACAAAAGAAAAACGAAACTAAGAAAAAGACAATTTTGTTGAGAATTTGTAATTGTTTAAATTAAAAAAAAATGTTTTTTACAAGCATCTTGAAACTTGCGTATACTTTTTATATTAACGCGAATATCGTAATGTATATATTGTAACAACGTAATTATTACAAAACAAAAAATTTCAGTGCTATACATTTGTGGTTTCACGATTCCATTCTTCGCGGAATCGTGATTGTTACTCAATGATTGTCGATCAATTGAATCTTCCCAACAAGAAACATATTAAAGATACAATTGTGAAGTTAATGATACGAAATATATGTCGCTTTGCTTTTGCCGTTGTATATTACAGAGAGTAAAATATATTAAATTACTTTAATTAATGTCTCGAAGTTTTCATTACATGTATATATATGTTATATATATATATGATGGATGTATAATATTTTGAACAGTCTGTTTTGCTTGCGTGATCGTATCTGTTTCCTACAAATGATAAAAAAGTACATAATTCCTGGTACAAAACATTAGCTGACATAAATTGTTGGAATATTACACATTGTATGATATTTCAGCGCCTCGTACGATATGATACAAGGAGAAACTTGATTTAACTGGTTGAAATAACCGTTTCATCAAATAATTTAATATTTCATTAATATTTCATTATAAATTACTTATTAAGATATGCGTCATTATCTTGTGAATCTATAGTCTTTAATTTTAAACACTGCGTATTTGCACCAGAAGTAGACAAGTACGAACTGCCTTATTTTAATCGCGCAATAGACACACAACGTTTTGCTAGAAGTGCTCAATTTTAAAACATTGATCCTGCTAGAAAAGGATACCGAAGGAATTATAGATTATCAGACTGTAATCTGCATTCTCCAGCACAGAGACGCAATATTTGTAAAATTTATGCACACATTTGCGTGTGTGTGTGTGTGTGTCTGTCTGTGTGTAATAATGTAATTGTGTAATAAATTAATTATACTTCTCCATACACACATGCCTCTTGCTTTCTTTTTATCCTGTTCAAAAATATGTAATTAACGAGATTCGAAACACATATCAAAAATAAAATACTAGAGATTAGAGATTACTAGAGATTATATGAATAATTAAAAATTAATTAAAAATTAATTAAATATATATTGTACACGTATATAAAACGCATAAAATCACGCAGATTTACAAAGAGACAAACGGAAAGAGTATTAAAGAAGAGGAATATGGAAGGAGGAAATAAAAACAATTCACGATATTATTTCAATATATTGAATTTTATTACAAAATGTTTGTATTTAGGCTACAACATGTAGTATAATAATGTTTGGTCTAGACCCTTATCAAAAGAAAAAGAAAAGCTAAACTGCACCTCATTTACTATTGTCTTAACGAGCCACGTCGCCAATTTACGTCTCGAGGAGACACCAGTATGGACAAAGAGACGAAAGAAACAAAAATGTAAATGCTACATAAAAGTTTTATACAAATTTCAAAAAAAAAAAAAAAAAAAAAAAAAAAAAAAAAAAAAAAAAAAAAAACTATAGTCGCACTTGCGTTCACAATCGTCCGACCTTTTCGCAGCTGGCGAATCGCTTCTTTATCGCAAATATATTTAAGGCTCCTGCCCTTCTCCTATTCTAAAACTTTTAAAACGACAAAATTCCTAAAGTAATGTCGCATAGCTGTTTTCGTGATACAGTTCGTCTGGTCACAGATTTGTAACGCACGCTTTAAAAGTTACAGAATAGGCTCGGTGGGTGCTCGTTCCAGCATTAGGGTAGCGTCATATATTGAATTATATATGTGTGTGTGTGTGTGACGTCAGAAGCGAGAAATTAAACGAATTTTTGTCATGTAAGTTTTGTCGCTAATCGCCATAAGTTACTTGAAAGCGCAAAAATTAGTACACTCTGCCGGGAAAAAAGTCGCGTATAAAATTTGTAATATAAAAAATTTGATCACTTGTCACAAGGCTTGTTTTTGTTTATTTTAGGAAAAATGTAGAACACACATATAGATAGAAAAAATATGCATTTTTTTAAATGCGAAATAATAAAGAAGAGTTTCCGGCGCACTGCACTAAAAACCACACTAGTGTTTCTCAACCAGTGTAATCAACACACTGGGGTTATTATTATTAATTTTTATTTTATTGAAAAAAAAGAAAAAAGGGAAGGAGAGATGCCTTAATAAGATTTGCTCCTTTTTAATATAAACCGCGAGTTGAAAAACGTCAATCTATTTATATATTGTCAAATGCCAGCAGGCTTGTAAAATTAGTTTATTTCTATATGTGTAAGTTACATGACAAAAACACAATCGTACGACTTTTCACTTCAAACGTCATAACGCATAATTTAGACATGCAGTGAGAAATATTTTGTTAAATGCATAATATATATATATATCGTACACAAAAGATGCAATTTGATCCTTACTTTTACTCCTTTAAATTTTATCTTCACAAAACAAATTAAGAAAATTTTGTTAAAAATTATCCTGGAACCATTGAACAACGAATGTTGCGAATGTTTTATAAGAAAGATATTCTGTACGTCTTATATATTTTGTATACATTTTATCATAATGCCTAATCTATATTTTAAAGCGCTTTGGAGATTTGACGATAGAAAATAGAAAAATTTCATCTGCTCGCGGAATTTTATATCAGTTCGGAGATTAGTTTTTCTTTTGCTGTTAAAAAACGGACTCACTCGGTTGGATTGTTTTTGATAGCGTTTTGAAAGATATTTGTCTCTTCTCTTTTAGAATAATTAGTGGACATTTTGTTTTTTTTTTTTCGTATATAAGCTAGAGGCGCATCGCTCGAGCCTAACTAAGTTACGACAGGATTATATTTCGCTGAACGCGAACGCGATAACACACGGGAACAAAAACACATCTCCATGTCTCTTTTTCTCTCTCTATACAAATCACCGTCGTTTTATGAGATCGCAGGACAACGCGCGCGCGCGCGCGCTGTCCTGCCAATTGCACGCTAAAGAGAAAAGGAAGCAATGATCGGTATCGTGATAGAGTTAGTTCCTCGAGACGCAGCCTGGGAGACCCGGCGGCCCCAAAGACACGTGTCTAAAGAAGAAGACGATAGTGATTGTAACTTGCGTACAACCGATATACATCGTAATAGGTGTAAAAATAATAAAATTAGTGTAATCCTCTCTATTACATTACGGCGTGTGATTCGTGTACGTTTGTTTATGTTTGTTTGTGTGTGTGTGTGTGTGTGTGTATGTACGTACGTAAGTGTGTATGCATGTATGTATTGTGTGGCCTCATACGTGTACATGTATTGCCGCGCTCGACACGATCTTAAAACGTTCAACGTAGTAAACTCTCCCAAGCAAGCTAATTCTAAGATAATGCAATATCCTTTGCTTGTTTATTCATATAGCATCTATTTTTATATTTAGGTATGCATGTACGTGTGATAACTAAACAGATATATGATTTTCTGTCTGCCATCGCGTGGCCACTAACGGCTTGTCTTAATTTCGAAGAGCAGGAGGCTGTCGCAAACTCTATCGGATGAAGCGAAACGTCGAAAAGCATCACACAATGATCCCGTGCCATCAACCGCAATGGGAGAGTTGCATTTTGATTTTTTACTTTTGATATTTTTTCCTCTCTCGTCAAATATACATATATTCGCAACGTCTACTTGGCACTTGATGTGAAATATACCGCGCTCACAAATTACGGAAGGATTTTCTCTTGTAACCGGAACACAGCAAAAATTAGAAAAACGTCGATTAAAAGGTGAGAAAGTTAACAAACTGATGAAAAAAAGAGGATTTTGTGATGGACTTTCCGTTATTTATCCTTTTAATTCTTCTCTCTCTCTTATATATACGTTCAATAAAAAAAAAAAATAAAAAAAAAAAAAACAATAAATACAAATTTTCATGCTGATAAAATTGTGCGAATCGGATAATTCACATTCGGCGCTTAAACGTAAAATAGACGAAGCAAATATCGATCAATTAAAAATGCAGCTCTCCTTATTCCAAAACGTACTCAATTTTATGTTATTTCGTTGCGCAGCTCTTTAGTTTGTTTGCGCGACTTTTTGCAATACATGCATTAATGCCAGCAAAAACATGTGTCAAAAGTTACAGAATAAAGGTGCAGAGAGGAAGAAATTTCAGATAAAAAAAAAAGAAAGAAAAAAAAAACAAAACCCGAACAATACCGAGTTTTCAAGTTGCGCGCTGTAGGCACAGGCACATTTTTTTCCGAACTGTGAAATCGTGTACGATTACGTAACTTCTATTGTCATTTAGATATATTTTATAAATTAAGGAATTAGCTATATATATATATATAATATATATATATATTATCTTTTTTTCTCTCTCTTCTTTTTCTTCTCTTAAAAAGCCAGCGCGCACGATATATTCTACGCGAACTCTCAGTATGACATACACACATGCAAAAACTGTTTAAATATATTTATCTTTAAAAAAATTTTAAAAAATAACAAGTACATGTGTACACATAAAAATCTAGTAATTGATTGCACAATAATAATAATAATTTTTTTTTTCACTTTTTTCTTACGTATATATAAATATACCGATTATAGATTTAAATATGCCGTTAAATTTTTTATTCTTCATCTTTCGTATAGAATATATTTCGAGAGAGCAGCCTCCTGTTCTTCAACAATAACTATATTTAATGATTTCTCATAGAATTATCAAGTAAAATTTGTAAAATACAATATACTGCCTATATCATAAATTCTTAATCTTCATCTTTATAAATAATTATAGTATAATAGTTTTCACACCATTTGTTAATTTATTATACTCAGATATACCATTCTTTTTTTTTTTTTTTGTTTTGAGTAAATTTAAATATTACAATTGTGCCCTCTTTGCACACTAAATCCACTTTTATATTCTGCATGACTGCGTATATCTGTATGTGTGTGTACGTGTGTGTATATATAATACATGTAATGGTAATCTAAAGGACTTACGATATTTACATATGTACACGTGTAACAACGGTGCGTTGTCCAAACCACTCGATTAATTTCACTCTCTTCTTTCAGTTTTTTTTTTTTTTTTTTACTTGATCATCCTCTCCTCATGTTCTCATCGTCATCGCGATGACTAACATCGCGGCGGATACAAAAAGTATCCTAACTCGCGCTTTTTAAAAACTTCACGAAAACTTACTTTGAACATCCAATAGTGTGGACATTCTTCTCGATGAATATATAATGATGCAAATAGTTATGGTTCAGATCTTTCGCCTCGTTATTATATTATTCCGTACAACCGCTGCATGTCTTTAGTCGCACGTTGTCGTTATATAAATTCAATCAAACTGAAAAAGCTAATTACAGAAAAACTTACAGATTCTTAGAAAACAGGCTCCGTCTCCCGTCGCTTTGATTAATCTCTCTTTCTCTCTCTTTCTCTCTCCGCTCTCGTTCTACACTTGGCCAACCTTCGATGTGCCATCGGCGACATTCTTTTCCGTGTGAAAATGCAAGGGCTAAACAGGACAACTGTTCGCTTTATAGAAGTCGAAGAGGAAGACTCTAGCTCTACTTCTCGCACGGGTTTGTCCATGCGCGCAATTATCGAAGATAAGATCTTTCGGAATTACCGTTCGCGCATTAAACTCTACGTCGCAGTGTCCTTCTGCAGCAAAAAGTCTTACCTGGGCACACTTTCTCCTTTATCTAACGATTCAGGGTTGGCCAAGCTCTCACTCATGCTACGAATCGAGATCGTCTTCTCTCTGACTACTGAAGTAAGATACCAGCCCGCCGAATTCGCCAGTGCCTTCTTCCGGATCACCCGGATGCGACTGCGGACCTTGCGGCGGTCCCTGCATAGGCGGTTGATTGTCCGCCGGTGAGGAAAAATGCTCCGCAGGATATGGTGAGCCCTGATAAGCAGCCGCGTCATCCGCCGTGGTCATTGGCGGAGGCGGCGGATAGGCACCGTAGTGATAGTTGGGAGGTGGAGGCGGATGATATGGGGAGAAGTTACCGGGCGGTCGATTAGGCGGCGGAGAAGGTTGCTGTATGTTGTGATTAACGGGCGAGGCGTTGGTGAATGGCGGCATCTGATGCCTGGGTCCCATAGGGTTCTCGGCAAACCTAGCTATAGGGGGACCACCCCGTACGTACGGTGGAGGAGGCGGCGGCGGAGTTGGACCTCCCTTGGCCAATGGACTGCCAGCTGATGGTGGAATCATCGCCGGTCCGCCAGGTGTTAGTGGCGAACTGCGATCTCTATTGTTGATGGAAATCGGTCCACCACCTGAAGGTGACGGATCCATCGGGTGATGTGTTGTGTGATACATTTGTGGACCGGGTACTCTCATACGCATGGGAGGCGTGCCCGATCTAACCGCGGCGAAATGCGGCATAGACTGACCGGCCTGTCTATACGGGGACGGGATCCTAGCGCGTGGCTGCATTTCGTATCCTGTCCGAGGACTACCCATCATCTGACCGCCAGGGGTGGGATTGCCGAAATACTTATGACCCATTGCTGCAGCCGCCGCTGTGAACGACTGCGGACTATTGGATACCGGTTGAGACTGAAGCATTCTTGTAATAACGGAAGACTGCTGACCAGGAGGTAGCGACGGATAAACTGGCTGCGGGTTCGACGGCTGTGTCGAAGGTGGACCTGGCGTTGGAACGGCACTTGCGGGCGGAGTAGAGGGAGCCGAACCAGATGTACTGCTGCCTGGTGTGGGAAGAATGTTTGGTAAATCGTTCTGTTTCATATCCGGATTGGAATCAGTGCCCATGCCGATCAAACCAACATCGGCCGCGGCTTTGGCCGCAGCCTCAGCAGCTCTGGCTGCTTCTAATGCGAGGGTTTTCTTTCCTTTGCCACGACCTCTTCGTTTCGGCTTCATTGGCATTCCATCCGGATTAAAAAGCTGCCCGTCCGGTCCGGTCATAAGTGGCATATGTCCTTCGCCACTTCGGTCTGTTTCCGGCGTCAAACCGGAAGTTAAAACAGGACTTACACCGTGCGGCACGTTGCCGGTGCCATCTGGTATACAGATACCTCCGCCTGGCACGATACCCAGATTTGGCGCGCCATCTCTGCGCATCTGTTCAGCGAGTATTTCAGCTTTGCTACGACGTCCGCGTTTCTTCTTCTTTGGCGCTTCTCCATCCATTCCCTCAGGTGCGTTAGGATCTCTCTGCCTCTCTGCTGCCAGTATTTCTAGAGCTTTCAAACGTGCCTTCTCGAGCTTCTTAGCTTCTCGCTCTTCTTTTTTCTTCTTTTTTGCAATTTCGATAGCCGCGAGCTCTAACTGCCTTCGTCCGTATTCTTCATCCATCATCTGCTCAAGTTGCTCTTCATCCAAATCAGCAAGCTCGCCAGCTCCAAGACCGGTCAGCGAACCCTCAGGAACGTCTCCAGTGAAAGAACTCGCTACCGACATCGTCGTTGCCATCAGTCCGACGTTATCCGAAAGATTCTCGTCCATCTTAGACGTTAAATCCCCAATAGGGTTGTCCATAACTGCGCCAATCATATCTCTGTCCGCATCAGCATTCAACTTCTTGCGCCCTCGATGTTTGCTTCCCGGTTTTGGCCCAGGCTTCTTCCTTTGCTTTGGTACGTCATCAGACAACGATTTGCGTTTTGCTCCAGGACTTCTCCCGTTACGCGGTCTTTTCGCCTTCGGTGATTTGTTCTTGAACTTTAAAGCATCTTTTTTGGGTATATAAACATCTCCAGAATCGGAATCCTTATCACCGTCATCGTTTACATCTTCACCTTCGTTTACCACAAATTCATCTTCGCTATCGCCAGTTTTTCTCATCATCAATGAAAACTTTTTCATTTCCTGTAAAATAATCAGAAATTTGTCACACGTGACCAAAACTTTGTCAAAATAAAGTCACTCACCTCTTCGCTATCCATTTCCTCTCGGTAATTGATTTTCCTTCCTCGAGTTCTTCTACTTAATATTTCTTCCTCTTCTTGTCGATTTTCGTCCGGAAGTCTTCCATAAATAACCTACAAAGTTTTCGATAGAGTTAATATATATACTACAAACATATATACAATTTAATAAAACGCGAAATATATATACATATAAAAACACATACTTTCCGTCTAATAGTTTTCTTCGGTTTCGGTGCAATATCCTGAAAAAGAAACAAAAAAAACTATATTTAGTATTGAAGATTGGATTTTGATTTTGTTTTCTTTATTTATTAAAATCTAAAGACATTCTGTCTCACAAATTTTTTTTTTTTTTTTTTAATCTACGAATGTGCGTGTAAATGTATCAACCTTTTTAATTTTTTGATTTGGCACCGTTTCTTCTGATTGTGTAATCTGTGGAATCGGAACTTCGGAAACTGCTTCTTGCAATCTATCGTCTTTTATTTCGACATTGTTTTCGCCTGTATTATTTTCAAAATTTTCTTGCTTGTTGACGTCCAGCATCTCATTTAACTCGGTAGTGCCTACGGTTTGCAAGTTAGGCTCGCACTGTTTTTCAACTTTCATCTCATTTTCCTCTTCGTCGTTCTCGCTCTGGTTGTCAGATTCTATAATACGTTTTCTCTTTTTCTTTTTCTTACCCTTTGTTTTCGGTGCTGCCCTAACTCTGGACATTGGTACCGTTCTGCTTCTGTAATAAGTTGTAAAAAAAAAAAAAAAAAAAAAAAAAACATTTTAAGGAGATTTAGATAGAACATATCTAAAAAATGACAAGTTTTTGAAACTTGAAAATCTTGATCATACAACTTTACAAATTTTTCCTATATTTATTTCTATAGAAAATTTCGAGAAAATTGTTATTGAAAAAGAAAATAAGTGACTTGGCTTTTTAGTGGGTATCGGGCTCCAAAAACATATCCGCCCATACGCCAAAGAAAAAAATTAAGTAAAATAAAAATTACATAAAAATGAAAATTGAAATTACAAACTGAGTTTCTTACTTTTTCTTTCTTTGTCTCCATGAATTATCACTGTCTTCGCTGTCCGAATTTCCCCAAACTGATGATTTTTTCCTTTTTGGTCGGTCACTTTCTTCGCTGTCGTCGTTAACTAAAATAAACAATCATTTAAGAATAACTTCTTTATCGTAATTTTTTATATCTAAATATCGTAATTTTATATCAAAAGAGACCTGAGAGTCTCAGCTACAACATATTATTGAAACTTAATATAGACATGTGACACATAGACATCATACTTGTTTTTGTACGTCTATGTCAGAGCCTTCCAACTCGCGCACGGCGTGCGGTTTGCGCCATAAGATTTCTATGCGGTCACGTGATCAGTTGGAAGGCTCTGGTCTATGTAATCTATAGTTTTGAGTCGTGTTCTTGCCGGCGTGCACTGGGCGATTCTGTTGTTGACTTGTCAAATTAGGTGCGTACATGTTTACTTACTCATTCTGTTTCCGTCATTCGTTGTAACGGATATTATTTGAAACTAGTTAGTTTTAATTGTATTTGATTGTACTTAATTATATTTTGTTATTTAACAGTGCTGAGGATGATCAACAATAAATGATCGAAACGTCCCTAAATGTAGTTTTTTACGGTATATTGAATGTCCACTTCCTTTCTGGACCAAAGGCTCCGCGGTTGTGTACCATTATTCAATATATAGACAATTTGGATCTTAAAAAAAATATTCGAAACTCACTGAAATCTTCATCGTAGGCTCTCGTCATGCGCGCTCTGGTAGATCTTCTGACAGGGCGCGAATCGCTCTTCCTACCGCGTCGTCTGACATCGGCAAAGCTGCTTTCGTCGGACGATGTAATGTGATCATCAAAATCTTCCTCGTCATCGGAACTCGTGCCTTTGAAATCTTCGTCGCTTTCCGGATCGTCCTCGCTGCTTATATCGAGACTGTTTAACTTTCGATGTTTTTTACGTGCTAGCAATTTCTTAGCCACCGTGTTTTGTTCCTCCTCTACTTCATCAACAACGTCCTCGTTCTCAATTTTATATTCCTCGTCACTTTCTTTTTCTGGTTTTGATTCATCAATCTCATCCTTATCTTCTTCTAATTGCGTCATCTTCAACGCCTCGGCCTGCAAATCAAAAGAAACGGTATTGTGACTGATCAGCTATCTATAACATTATCACGTCGCATGTTTTAATCGTTCTACCTGAGCTTCTTCCTTCTCCGCGTTGACTATCGTCGCAATGTCCTTGCCTCTTCCCTGATTACCAGCGCCTTGAACCGCCTCAACCTCATCCTGAATCGCAGCGTTAATCATGTCGTCATATTCGTTGAATTTGTAGGTATTGGCGCACCGGCGTTCGCGCAATTGATAAACCGGTTCGCTCTCCTCGCTGCTCGTTGTCTCAGAAGTGGAGGCTGACGAAGAGGACTCCGAGGATTCTGCAAAAAAAAAAAAAAAAAAACAGATTTGAAATCACATTAATAACACACAATTTTTACTTTCTATCATTTATTATTTATTTGAAAAAAAAAAAAGTAAAAAAAGTAATCGTCATATCAAAATTTAGAACAACATTCACCATTATCCGACTCCTGACTAGACGCTTTCGAGCCTTTCGGTGCGCGTTGCGACTCGCCCTTGTGAAGCACATTGTCCAAACTTATGCCAACAAACGCCAATCGCTTTTTCCTCAGCACTTCGTTCTCGTGTCTTTTCGTTAATTGATCGAACGTTTTTATAGTTTCTCGAAGTTTGTTCACCAGCAAATTCTACAACAATCAAATTTTAAAGCAATAAGCACGTTGTTTGATGCACACAAAAAAAAATCATACAATTACATTTATAACATGTAGAAAAGTTTTTAAATGACTATTAGTCAGAGCGAACTTACATGCTGGCACGGTGGACAGAACCAGTCACCTTCGGGTATAAGCATAAGTGCTGGTCTGAGGCAGGAACAGTGCCAACCTTTGTCGCAGGAGTCGCAAAGAAGAATCCATTCGGGATGATCAGCCTTCCCACATTTCTGACAAGCGTATTCATCGTCAGCTTCCTCAACATCGCTTTGAGCTAGATAAAAAAAAAAAATAAAAATAAAAACAATGATGAAAAAGAACCGAAATAACTTTTCGACTCTTCTGAAAATCTTTTTTCTTGTGTAAAAAAAAATTACCCTTCTGCGCGGTTCTTGCGCGTCTCAGAGGTTCAGATTCTTGATCCTTTTCGAGATCGCTCTCCGGGGAGAATTCGTGATCGCTTTTGAAGAGCAAGGACCCCTCGCTCTCAATAATATCCTCGTCCTCGTCCTCGTCCTCGTTATCGTTTTCTTCATCGCTGCTCGATCCGGACGAACTCTGCCACGGGTTTGCCTCGTTAAATTTAGCCAACATTTTTTTCTTCTTTCTCTTTCGACGTTTCTTTTTGGATTTCTTCTCTTTTTCGATTTCCTTCACTATTTCTTCCTCTTCGCTTTCCGGCTATGCAAAAGGAAAAGAGAGAGATTACTTGTACGCGCGATACGAGATATAAATCCTTAGAGCGCGTTTAATACTTACCTTCTGCTTTTTTCGTTTCTTCTTTTCCGATTCTTTTTTCTCTTCCAATTCGCGCATACTTTCCTCCTCGATTCTGCGCCTGTCCGCTTGTTCCTTGATCTTTAACTGTGCTATTCGTCTTGATTGCCTCACAGGCATCTCGTCCTGTATCACCGGTGTGTTTTCTGACTCCAGTGAAATGTCTCTTCCTATTTCTAAACCCAAAACCATTTTCCCTGTGGAAAACCAACATTTTTCCATCAATAGGTTTTTTTTTTTTAATTATTGTTGTGTACGTACAATACACGTTGTTACATGTACTTTCTCCGTGTACTTACGCTTCTTTCGCTTTTTTTGCGCGGAAGCGTCCGCGGACGTTGTGTTTAGATCATTAGGAGTTCCATCGGGATGAACACCGGACGATACGTCCAACGTTGAATCGCCTTGGAATTCAGCGAGTTTTGGTTTCGCACGTCCGCCACCGCGAAAACCACGTCGTCGTCTGCCCCTAGGCCGGCCCCTGATCTTCTTGTCAATCGCTATCGATTGCGCCATGTTCAGATCGTCGTTATTGCCGTCTTTATCCGCGCGTTCGGTCGCGTTGTCGGGATCACATTTCGCAGCCTCGTCCTCGGAGCTCATTATCACATCGCGACTTTCCTCAACGGTTTTTCGCAGTTCCTTGTCGGGCATTCGTTTCGCTCGCAACTTGATTCTTTTCCCACCCATCATCTCTTCATCTTCCTGTTTTCCGCCGTCCTCGGAATTCGACTCGTTAGCGCTGTTCCGTCGCTTTCGCGAGATCTTCGGCGCTTCCACGGTCGTACTGTCCAACTTCCATCCCTCGTAAACCAATTCGGACGCCGGTTTAACGCGAATGCTTATCTTCGACGCGTCGGACGCGTTCTCGAAATTCTTCATAGTCATGTCATCGTCGGTACACGCTAAAGGATCCGCTTCCTCCGGCTGCACGTTAAAAACGTCCTCGTTGTCCATACCGGTCGAATCGTCGGAAACCACGGAAACGGTTTTCATTTCTATATCCGGGATCTCCGTAGGTTCTTCTTCCTTCTCATCCGTAACATCCAAATTGATCTTCTTCGAATCGTCGTCGTCGTCGTCGTCGTCTATAGACGTGACAGCGGAATCGGCGTTAACCGTCGCGAAATTATTTTGCGACGCCACGGAAATCACCGACGATTTCATCTCTTCCTCGACTCGCGACTCCGCTTTCTCGATCTCGTTAAAATTATCAAAACTCTTGGGCGCTTGCGCGTCGATGCTCTTCAAATCTTCTAACAACACTTTGTCATCATTTTCCACGTACGAGGGTGGTTTGGATTTTATCGGAGGAACATCTTCCATGTCGGAAGAATCGATCAGTCTCTTGCTGGCTTCTTTCTTAACGTCAGATTTCATAGCACCAATTTCTGAGATCGTTTCCTGATTGGAAAACGAATCCGATAATTCGTTACCACCGACCGAGGCCGGTTTCTCGTCTAAGTTCTCCGTAATTTTATTTACATTTGCGTCTATACTAAAAGATTCATTTTGATTGTTGCAAGCACTATCCAAGTTGTTAACATCTTCCATCTTCGCGGACATTGAATTGTGATAATAAAGTGCGTCGGATGAGGACATACTACCCTCTAAATTCACATGCGACTTGTCCACATTTAGAACGTTGTCCGATTTAACTGGCGCAATGTCGGATGCCAATGCGGTTTGAAGCGGCGTTAAGCTCGCTTCTTGCACGAACGATTTATTGGGCAAGCATTCGTCTTGCGACTTCACATCCCACTTATTGTCTTGATTGTCGACATAATCGACGAGATCTTCTTTGAATCTTTTACACGGAATAGACAGTTCCTCGGCAAAATGTTCGTTCACATTTTTCAATCTCGCTATATTATTATCGGTTTCGAAATTGACAACGTTTAGTTTGTCATCCAAATTTCGTATATGTTGCTCTTTCACGTGAAACACGTCAGCCACTTGTCTGTCCACAGCGTTGAGCTCCTCTTCAACGAGAGATGATTTTATGAACTTATTCACATCGTCCGAACTTAGATCGCGAACGTTCTCGGGCGAACAATCCGTTTTTTGCGTCATTTCGAGAATATTTGAAGTATCCTGAACACTTTGAACATCCTGCACTGTTCTCACGTTGTCAATAAAATTGTTGACGTAATCCTTGTTTTTCTCAATATGACCGGCAGTCGTTTCAAATGTCTTGTTTAGATGAGGTTCGGTTGTCTCTTCGGTGACTTCGGAGACTATCTTTGCCGCGTCCGACACTTCCGGCGTTTTAACAGAGTTGACGGTCGATATATCTGTTTCTTCTACTCTAAGTTCATTCTCCTTCAAAGACATTGTAGATTTGTCACTTAAATATTCAATATTGTTGCAAACAGATTCGGCTCGCACTTTATCGACGCACTCGTTGTTATCGCAATTTTGTGTATTAATTTTAACGTTCTGCTCCACGATCGCAGCATCTTCATTCGATATCTCGTTGGTTTTTAGTTCCACAGATTTTTCTTCCTGTTTTTCAACAACTTCAACGAACAATGGTTCTTTAGGCACGTTGGAAACTAAATTCGCACTATTAACGTCACATTCTTCGACAGACTTTTCATCTAATTCTTCGACAGACTTTTCATCTAATTCCTTGACAGACTCTTCATCTAATTCCTTGACAGACTCTTCGTCTAATTCCTTGACCGACTCTTCATCTAATTCCTTGACCGACTCTTCATCTAATTCCTTGACAGACTCTTTGTCTAATTCCTTGACAGACTCTTCGTCTAATTCCTTGACAGACTCGTCATCTAATTCCTTAACAGACTCGTTATCTAATTCCTTGACCGACTCTTCATCTAATTCCTTGACAGACTCGTTATCTAATTCCTTGACAGACTCGTTATCTAATTCCTTGACAGACTCTTCGTCTAATTCTTTGATAGACTTTTTGTCTAAATCTTCATTCGGATTTTGTTCCGATGAGACGACGACGTCAGATTTAGAATCATTTGCTTGCGCCACGTCAGATTCGAAAACGTCGTCGCTGATGTCGTCATTCGAATCGCTGTTGTAATTCGCAACCAGAGATTGCCTGTTATCGTCCGTTAATTTTTCTTGAGAAGAAAACTCTTGAGAAGCTATATTTGATGTTTCTATATCTGACTGTTCAGCGGGAGCTACAACAGGTGTTGCATCCGTCTCTGATTTTTCTGTACTTTCAACTATTTCCGTAGTTTTGCCGTCGTCACAAACATTTTCGGCAATCACATCAGCGTTCCGTTCGTCAGCGTTGTCGCAAGTTCTTGTTTCATCGTCTTCTTCTTTTTTAAGATCGTTTTCACTTTCCGCATCAGCTTCAGACTTTTTCGAAATTTCAGATTCGATCGTTGTTTGACGACAGGATTCCGCAATGACTGCTTTCTCTTCAGGATCCGTCCGTATTTCTGACGCCGCGTTATCTCTTTGTTGTTCGTCATTCGTTCCAACTTCCTCGGGTTCTTTGAACGATTCGTTAGATTCGGACACGAGATCGTCTATGACCATGTCCTCGTTTGAATCCTGATCAATGCAAGGACTTTCAGAAACATCATCCGCGTACTCACTGGACGTGGACTGAACTAGATTAGACAAATTGATTTCTTCCGTAGTTTCTTTTAATTCGGGCACTGGTGGTAAAACGCTGAACGTGGAAGATTTATTATTATCAGCAACAGACGACAGGTCTGCGCTTTCAATTTTTTCAATATCTGTTTGCACAGGTTCACTCTCTTGAGGTTCGCTCTCTTGAGGTCTCGAATCCTGCGCACAGGCACTATCCGGACTGTTTATAGTAGGAACTAAACGGTGCTTATCATTTTCTTCGGCAGACTCCGAACTGGTTATCGCGGAATTAACGGGAAAATGGGTTTCGGAATCAACACCGAACAGAGTGTCGTTAACTCGAGCGTCGTTCAAGTCTTCTTTCTCTTTGATATCTTCCGAGTCGCCCGATCCATCGTCCTGCAATCCCACATCCGACAACACGTCGGTTCTTTCACTATTTTTGTCGTAATTAACGTACGTAGAGTCGGCGTCGGAACTGGCTAAACTTTTTATTCTCTCGTTGTCCGTGTCGATCGAACGATCTTCCTGGCCGTCGGTTTCGGAGAAATTGTCGTTCTTGTCAATTTGGTTGTCGCAACTCTCGTCTTCCGCCGAAGTCGGATCGTTTCTCTCGAATCGTGTATTCGATTGCTGAGAATTCGCAGGTTCCACATTCGCGGAATCCGGTTGCTCGTTCGACTTGGTGGTAACATCTTCGAGTTCCTCGAGATTCACCAGTTCCGTTTCTTTTTCCAAATTTTGCGTCAAAGATGACACAGACGAATGCATCGAAGCAAAAACTTCAGGTTTTTCTCGACCCTCGTCGACGTCTGGATCGGATGTCGACTGATGATCGTTCTTGTCTTCAAGATCACACGCTGGTTCTTCGCTTCTGTTCTCCTTATTATCCACCGTATTATCCAACTGCGACGTAACATCGTTCGATCTTTCGATAAGAGTTTCTTGAATATCGACGCTCGCGGATTTTTCAAGATCGACGGATTGTTCACATTGCGGTAATTCAACAGTCGCACTTTCTGCTGGCTCAAGCGAACTGGGTTTGCTAATCGAACTAACATCAACCTCATCTTCTTCAATTACACTCATATCGTCGACATTTTCATTTTCAGCTACCGCCTCTGACGTGACACTCGTGTGTAAATTCGAGTTATCACTTTCTTCCATCTCTTTCCCAACGGGCGCGGATTCTTCTCGCACGTCTGGCTCTTCGCTCGTCTTCGTTTGAAGTTGCGTAACGGATGATTTAGCAGTGTTGCAATCGGACGATTCGTTCGGATCTGTCGAACTACTGAGCGTAGCGGCTTCTTGATCAAGCTCGTTGTTTGATCTGTCGACCTTTTCCGCTTCTTTATTATCATTTTCGCTTAGAACAGCATCGGACTCCGAAGTAAACAGATTTGATTTCAACGAGTTATTGTTCGTTTGCGTTAAATCGAAATCTTCCGACTTGTACGGAAGACAAGCTGCGTCGTCCGTTGATTTTGACGATGACACGCACCCGTATTGTACAGACGTAATTGATGATGAAATCGATCCGTCTTCGTCGGACTTGGAGGTATAAGAGATACAATTAGGACCAAAAAAAAATCTCGGTGGCGACGCATTCGGCTTGCATTCGTTATCCGCTGACACTTTTGAAGAAACGTCCGACTTGTTGCATGTAACTATGCTATTGATATCGAAAACGTTTTGTACATCGGTCGAATCTATCGTAGCTTCAGGATTTTTACACGATTCGATTGTCTGCGAGACGTCCGCTTGACTCGGCGACGTGGACGAATCACACTGCACGGGTTCTTGAAGTTCAGAATCTTTTTTCTGTTCCATCAGAATCGTATTCTCCGAACTTATATCGGACACTTGCAATCTAGCACTTTTGTCATCAAACGTTTCACTGTTCGCGCTCGAAGAATTTCCAACGTCCGATGTCTTGACGATCTCTCGATTCACATTGGTAGAATCTTCACAAACTGTTTTGGGTGTTTCTTCAGTTTCACTCAGCCTTTGATCCGCACTGTTGTGCTCGCGATCGTCAGTGTTCTTCAGTGATATGTCTTCTTCGTTTGATATGATACTGTCGCATTCCACCTTCTCTTCCGGCTTCCCCACATCCCACCTCGATAACCTCTTGACCGAACCGGATGTATTACTCTTCGCTATTAGCTGGACGCCTAACGTCGACTTAAACTTTGGCTTTTCTTGTACAGAGTCTACTATTTGACAGTTATCGTTTACACTTACACTAGACTGGGGAAAGTTTCTATTTAATTTTACAGGAGGTTTGCTCGACACTATCGCGCCTGTGGACACCTCGTCCTCGCCCAGAACTTTATTCTGCGACAACGTCGTGGCGGCCGAGTCAGCTTCGGATTTTGATTCGTTGCTTTCTTTATTGTCAGTGGACGCGTCGTCGCCGGGATTGCCCGTCTCGCAATCTTCACCGGAACCTTCACCGTAAAAAAAAATCGTTGGCTCCTCAATTGCTTCCCCGACCGTAGGATTCACTGCGTCGCAGTCGCTACCAGATCCTTCTCCCTGAACCATCATCATTGGCTCTTCGATGGCCTCACCCACTTCGTCTCTCCAGTTGCCGCCCATCATCGATCTTTTGTCCATGGTGCTTCTGATCGGAAGTACGTCCGTTCTTATCCTCTTGAGCATTTCTTGCTGCGTATCATCGTTCTCCATGGGACGTTTCAACGATGAGGTGTTCATTCTAAGCGTCGTGAGTTTGCTGGGATCTGGAAGTATCGTGTAGCTTGGTAGTCTGTGCTCGTCCTTGACGGGTAATCTAGATGTATTGTGATACGGCATCTTGTACGAACCGAAGGCCATCTGTCGCTTGCTCAGATCGGCAACCATCGCATGATTGCGTATCATCATATTACGTGCGTCGTACAAATTCGACATCTCTGGTTTGCTCGGTTTCTTCGTGCTCAAGTCCATCTCACGGTGCTGGAAGTCCTGCGTTCTGTAGCCTGGAGAGGGAAGGTCCATCGTTTTGCACGCTTTCCGACTAGAAAGATCGATCCCGGAGAAGTCGACCGGTCTGTTTTGTTCGTTCGCGCTCTCCCAACCGCGCGGCGATGTTGACAGATCCATGCCTCTGTGGCCTCTGAGCGTCGTCGATTTCTCCGATTGATTTCTCGCGCAAAAGTCCTGCGGCAGCCTGTCGTCCTCTCCGTTTGCCATATTTCCCAGTATACCGCCGGATCTCGCAAGCGATTCCGCAATTTTTTCAAGCGATTTTGGCCCGCTCGGTTTCTCTAATTTCTCCGATTGTATCCTTCCAAGATTCGCAGCTAATTGATCTATTGGCTTGAGAGACAACTTGGTATGACCCATGGGAATAGAATCCGTGAAAGGTAAGTTATTTTTGTTGGAAAGCTTGTCGAGCGATTTTGCTGCAGAATTTATGATCTCGTCGGAACTACCGTATTTCTTTGTCACGTTCAACGGTGCAACAACCGATGCTGTTGGACTTACCAATTTTTCTTCCGGCGCCTGTTTCAGTTCCGCGATATTCACCAGCTTCAACGGAGACGAGGTAATAACAGGCGTCTCTATCGACTTCAACGGAGCCAATTCCTCAACCTCGATTTTCGTGAGAGCAGCCGGCTGATGCGTCGTCGCAGGTTTACCGTCTGATGACAAAGCAGTAGCAGTGGACGTTTCAGTAGTCTCTCTGTGATTTATGTTTTCCGTTTTTACGCTAGCATCTTCCACCTTTGCGTTTAGCGGTTTTGTCGCTGGTAATGAAGACGAAGCAGTACATCTTTCCGCACTCGAAGTTTCTATCATCTCTTGAGAATCGTCTTCCTCCGTGATCTGTTTTGAACTTTCGTCATTTGTTACATCCTCTTCTTCCTCCTCATCCTCTTCCTCTTCCTCCTCCTCCTCCTCCTCTTCTTCAACATCCTCATCTTCCTCTTCGTCGTTTTCGGCGTCATTAGCAATATCGTCCCGATCTTGATCAGGTTCTTCTTCTTGAATGTGTTCTTGCTCGTCCTCGAACTCGCTTCTTCCATTCGGTAACGATTTGTCGTTCACCTCGTCAACAGAAACGCTGTTCTCTTGCGCAACCTCGTCCTCCAAACTCGGAGACGTCGTTACTTGGCCAGTATCTATTATAGGTTTCTCAGAGATCTCTAAACTGTTGCTATCCTCGTTAATTGGTATAGCCCCAGCTTCGCCGTTCGATAAGGTATTTATGAGACTCACAATACCTTCCCGATCCCTATATTGCGATAAAGAATTGGAAAACATGTCACAATATCAAATTAAGCATCTCATTTCATATAAATTTTGTTATTTATATTTAATCAAGCAAAATATCGAAACTTACTTAGCTACTAGTTCCCAACTTTCTTCATCTAAATCTTCTTTATAAACTCTCACATTACATTCCTCATCAATCTGACACCAGTACGCTAATCCAGTTTTATCCCTCCCTAATGGTTCCACACGCAATTCAGCAGCTGCCAATTTGTTGACTTCGTTTTTAAACTTTTGATTTAAGTCGAATTGCGTTTCCAAAAGCACCTAGAATGTAAAAGAAGAAACTTTTTGCATAAAAAACGATTTAATCCACAATTGTTGTGTTGCAAAAATTAAAATTGTACGTCATTTAAATACTTTTAACAAACGAAGTTTAACGGCAATCCGAGCTTTTTTGTAACCAAAACGTTCAAGTTCCCATCCATCCTGATTGGAATACGTGTGGCAAAACTTGACTAGTGCCCTTTCCCATTTTTCTGGTGACACGGTTTTGCGCGTTTTACGCAGCAACTTGATGTGCAGATCTATTAATTCTCGGGACACTAGAGAAAGAAGAAACACACACTAATGAAACTTGCGCAAACACATGTGAGGAAGTGTAATATTTTTTAATAAATTTCAACAAATTTCTCGACTAAAAATGTAGATACAAAATATATAAATTTATATCGGTATATCTTACATATCTAAAACTTCCGATATACTGTTTTAACTTTTAAATAATAATTGAAAAAAAAATATATTAAAAACTTCCTATAAAAAAAAATATTTAAATATTTAAACAATTGATAAATCTTTCAGGCTCCGAAGTTTCTAAACTAAGGAATGTATAAATACGGTATAAATAAATAATGCATATGTTTATATATACATTTCTTAGTTTAAATATTTAAATGTTAAACAACGCTCTCCGAGGTTCGGGAATCAAATGCGAAAAAAAAAAAATTCAACTCTCTTTACGTTTGACAGTTTAAGTAAAGAAACGTCTGTCTTTGACAAGATTTCTGTCGCGAATCACAGACCAATGACATTTCCGAGAAAACGGAGAGCGTGTAACTCGTAATCACGTGTAACCGACAAGCTGACAACAAGAAAGGTGGCAGCACGCGGCAGAATAACAACAACGTGAAACCCATCTCGCGGCTATCTGTCAATAACAACGCCTCGCGGAGGGAGCGTATTGTTATAGACCATTCAAATCGGAGCGAAACGGCGCGGAACGCGCCGGAGGGGATAGCCCGATGTTGCTTTCAGCGATCTCGCGCCAAGTCGCTCTCTCACGACAAAACAAAAAGCGGCGATTATCGTTTTTGCTTGTTGTCGTTGTCGTCGTCGTCGTTGTTGTTGTTGTTGTTGTCGTCATAGCCGCTGTCGGGAGCCACGGCTCGTTCGCGCGAAACAACAAGCAGACAAAAGGACGGAGGCTTCGCAGTCCGAGCGAAATCGTACGAAAGAAACCAGTGGTACGCGCTCAGACTGCTGGCCTTTTGCGGGGGCGGGTCGCGATAGTTCCATCTTGCTCGCTCCCGCGCCTCTTTGCATACTTCGTCCTCTCGCGCGCACATAGACACGACCGTGTCTTTCTGCGCGCGCGAGATCGCATACACATAAGAGCAATGTGTATATATGTGAGAGTGAGAGAGAAATAGAGAGACATAGAGAGAGACAGAGAGAGAGAGAGAAGGAGAAAGAGCGAGAGAAAGAGAGAACGGAGTAAAAAAGACCCACCTTCTTGCGTGTTCTCGAGCATATCCTGGAGCCGCGCGATGTCCGGGAAGATGATGCCGCAGGACTTACCGAAGCAGCCGAGAAACGAACAGATCACCGCGAAATTTGGGTCACTCGCGCATGAGGCTTCGTTATCGGACGCCATTTTTCCGACCGCTTCACGTCTTTGGGCCCGTCGCCGCCGCCGCCGCCACCGCCACCACCGCCGTCGCCGTCGTCGAAGCAGGCGATACGACACGCTACTACTACGCTAAGCGGCCCGGCAACTCGTCGCACATTTCATCGTCCGCACGCCGATCGTCAAGAAACGTCAACAGCGGCAGGATCAGCTTCGGTCGTAAACGTGACGACGGAATCACGCGCGTTAATCAAACGGGCGCCAGCAGGTAGTCGGCGTCTCGTCGCCGACGCGCCCCGCTTCCTCGCCACCTCCGTCTTCCGCTACCTCGTTGTGCGCGCCCTCGCTCGGTATCTTCGCGCGCCGACGACGAGAGGGCACACACGCGCGCACACTATTACACCACCACTACACAAACATATACACACACGCGCGCACACACACACACACCACGCACTCGGAGAATACTCAGAGAGAGACGGAGGAGGTTGATTCTTTCCCTCCGCCCTCCCGCAGGATTCGACGGCGAAAAGAAGCGGCGCCGCCGTCGCCGCCGCTTTCCGTCTTTCTCTTCCTCTCTTTCTTTTTCTCCCGCGTTCTTTATGCCGCTTTCAGTATCCTTCTAACTGTCGATTCCTTTTTTTCTCTTCTGCTTTTACACCTTTATGAACGGAAACACATTGCGCGCTACAGTCTATTGCGCGCCGTCTCCCCTATCTCTCTCCTCTCTCTTTTTCCCCTTCCAGCTTTTCGTTTCGCTCTCTCTCTCTCTCTCTCGCTCTCAAACCGCACACTCGTCAACGTCTCGCTCCATCGATGTGTAAGCGCGCGCGCGCGCACGCATGCACGCACGCACGCACCTTTGAGATCGACGATTTACTCACGACGACACGAAACGTAACTCAACGATACGAAGACGAATATCGCGCACCACACGAACGGCACGATCTCGTTCCTTTGCACTCACTTGCGAGAAGAAAACGCGCTCGCGTTCTAGACGGATGTGCGCGCTCGTGACGCTGTGATTGCCTCGTCACCGGCTACACACGAGCGACGCAGAAACAACTACCACGACAAAACGCAGCCCCCTTCCTCGTTGCGCGTGCTGGCTGGACATCGCCTTTGGAAACATTCGGAGGGTTCTCAACCGAAGCGACGAGTGCGCAGTGCCGCACGTAAACGGGCGCCAATCACCACCGGCGCCGCGTCATCGAGCGGACTCTGGGGGTCGATTCTGTATCACGCGGTGTAGCGAAAATGATAAAAAGTGTGAGACGAATTTATTAAAATGATCTATGATCTTTATTGGTCAACAATTAGTCAATTTGCTCACTTTTGTCATTTTTACTTACATTGCACGAATACACAATCGACCTTCCCCGAGGATGACCTTCCGAGTGTGAAGAATTTTAATTCAAGAAAAATGACAGAGAGAGAGAGAGCAAACATTCACCGAGTAGAGATTGATCAAATCAGTCGCACCTACTGAGATATAAGTATTTCTCATCACATTGATAGTGTGCGTGTAACATAATTAATTCATGTACCTACATCGCGCTCAGAAAAATGTGAATTTGAATTTTGCCACATTTTTTTATCGTCAGTTTTACGATATCGAGAAAATCACGTGATCTTTTTTGAATTTTTCGCATTTGTTTAGGAGGGATAAACCTGTCTTATATTTTGTTTAACGTTGGAGATGTTCGAGGAGAAATAAAAACACTTCGTTAGATAACTCTCAAAATTGCAGATACAAATCTGCAAAACAAAAGAGAGTCTTCAAGTATTTTTTAAGACCATGTTTCTGAGTGAATATTCAGTTCCGAGTTTATTTAACAAAACAAAAGAGTTTATTTTAATATATAATATGTCATTCATAAATATGATTATTTATTTAATTTATTTACGGATTATTACGGTTATTTACGGATTTTTTTATCGTTAGATCACAATGAAGACGAGAGGGATTCTTCGGTCGGCACAACGACCCTGCGATCTTTAAGCCGCATCCACAAGAACTTAATCCCGCTCCCTCTCTCTGTCTCTCTCTCTCTCTCTCTCTCCCTCTTTTCTCTTTCTCTATCGCTTTCTATTATTATCTTTCTAATCACGCGTAAGGCCAACGTTCATTCCGGAGCTCGTATCAAATTGTTGTTCGTCGCACGTGAACAGATCGTGAAGTGATCTCTCAACGAGGAATTTTGGGAAATAAGAGATATGCGTCCCGGATTGCAATGTCAGCCTCACATGTTTCACCGCTCGTTACGAGATGACATATTTGGACGACGACGTATTTGCGCAGTTTGCATATGCAAGGAGCATTTGAGCACCGCTACAGGACCGTATTCGGAACTTCGGACGCCCCCCCCCCGCTCAGTACGCGCGTCTCTCACGTACCGAAATTCTGTTTGTTTTAATTTTTCGTTTACGGGAAGCGCGAACGATTTGTAATTCGCAAATCCATTTTTCTCGAGAGATTTCTTTTTATCTCAATAACAAACACGTATCAGAGAGACACACTTGTTGCGACATGTGATACAATTTTTTTTGGTTTCAACACACTCGAATAATCGCGGAATAAACACAACTCCGCGTTCGACGATCCTGGGCGACGACGGAAAGGAGGGAGGATGCGAGGCTCTTGATCGCTCTTGAAAGCGCACGCTTCTTTCAAATTTAACTCTTGAGGTGATCGCAACCGGTGCACAACCGTGAACAACCATACCGAGTCCCGTCTGTTTTATGAGCGCAACCATACGATGATGTGAGATATATATATTTGTATACATATATCCATTGGTCGCCGCTTGTAAACCGCTGGTTTGTGCGCGAGACGAGATATATGTATTGCGCTTTGTAACCTCTGGCTGCGCACACAGAGGTGTTCTGGTAATCCTAACGGATTATGTTTGATACTCATCTACATGTATATATATATATACGTCTACACGATATGTCGATCGTTATCGCGCGGACTATATTTGAAGTTTTTTTTCTTTTTTTTTTTTTATCTTGCCTAAGGAAGATCTCGACATTGAGATTTAAACTCGGTAAACATTTCGTTTCATGGAGTGCGATGTTAGAAAAATGTGAACTCACAATGTTCGTAACTACGTTTTTTCAAAAATCAAATTTTACATCCGCAAATCTTTTTCTCAAGTTCTTGGCACGAACATGTTAAGAACATTTTCACGCACACGTATATACACACACGTGTGTCACATACTCAATTCGAAGTAACGTAAACGGCGAGACGCACGACGTTTAAAGGGACGCCAATTCTTCTCAAGGCGCAAGTGTGATCGATTCGCGTCGAAATATCCAGGTCGGGGAAATCGAATCGCGTTTTCTTAGAACGATCGAAATGCAACTCGAAACGGATCGGCGGATTTTGTTTTTTCTTCGCCCTTCAAAAGGAACTGCGTGATAGGTGTGTCAATGGGTTAAGTTATTTATCGATCGGCACAACACGCGTTTGCCCACCCCTGAGAATTATTCGAGGACGTCCATGGGCGCGACGATCCGATCGATCGCGAAAAGTCTGCCGCAGTCTGCCTCCGAGATGAGAGAAAGCAACCGTCGAAAATCCGTTTGCGGTGTCCATATCCAGGCAGTTTATATATATATATATATATATGTTATATATATACGTACGAGAATCACTTTACAAATACATGGATGATTTATCTCGACGTATAGGATAAACAAAAAAATATGTTACTTTCGATCGTTGTTCAATAAAAGTAAACGTAGAAATATTTTCACGCGTTCCATCTCTCTGAAGTCTGAGACTTCGAGAAGTTCATCTCGCACATTATTGACTTCTCGCGCTTTCCGAGCGTTGGCCGTGTTCACAGCAGAACGCAACTGTTGTTTAACAATAATGTTTTTTTTTGTAATTGCGTAAAAGTTTACGCCAAATGAGAATTGAGGATTTATTGGAGCACCGTAAACGCGTTCTGCTGAACATTGCCATTGAGCGAAAACACCTAAACGCGGTCCTCGTCTTTTATCTAGAAAGAAGCAGAAAAAAAAGTACAAAAAGAAGTACATTCAGAATGTACCTCTTTCATCGATCGGAAACTGCGACAATGCTGTGTACACCGTATATAGGTGTGTAAACAAACAATATAAGAAAAAACAAGAAACAATACTCTCTTTTTAAACACGAGTAAAATTCCTAATTGGTAAAATTTGATAAGTTACTGAAAATAAAACCGCTGCATTTCCATGAAAACAAAAAATTACCATTGAAGTATACAAAATTATTAACGCGGGAATATTTAAAATCAATTTCGCGAAAAGATCAACGCAGAATGCATATGGGTAGGTCTATATAACGTATAGTTTTACACACTGCCGTGCTTAGTTAAAATGTTCTATCTCGCAATTTTCTTAGATAATGAGGGCAAATTAATAATTCTTACATTAATATTTTAATTGCGTATCGCGTTTTATTTTCAATACATATTGACATACAGTCAATATTCTTAAATAAAAGTTTCGCATCTTTTAACCAACAAGGTTTTTATTGGTTTTTATGTATAAAGTTTTATTTACAATGTACATTTCTTTGCTCTAGAAAAATCTTAGTTTAGAAAAACTCGTATATTCTAAGCCGTATTGTATTTCACAACTTTTTGTTATAATTTTCTTCTGATATTTTATATAACACACGATTTTTTCTGAACTTTTTGTACCTAAAAATTTAGCTTATATATATTTACCTTCCGTCTCTTTCGTAATACATTATGCATTTCATCATTGTAATAACAGTTTTATAATCAGTGTGTTGGTCAAAAATTTTCTATCTCTCGATTAATACTACGTTTTCGTTATCTCACACAATTTTCACAACAGAGAAGTTGCTGAGAAGATATTTGGAATGCAAGAGAATTTCGTATTAAAATATATAAAAAGCAACTTGTAAAATTAGTTTAAGCATACATTATATTACACATCGTTGGTAAGACTTTGCTGCAATTGATTTTGCTTTCCACACTGTGCTTTCTATTTACACAAACATCCAAATCCATTCTCTTTATGGATTCCCGATGAGTTAACAATAGACAACTCTGACGATATGTTGTCCGTAACTCCATCAAATTTTAATATAGACTTCGTATCTGATTCAACAACTTTAAAGAGAAGATATATGATCTATAATATAAAATACGTATATATAATATATATATATATATATATATCGTTTCGGACGCGGTTTCGTACCAACGGCTTTGTTGTTGCGTATACGGCAGAAAATTGCGCGTACGCCGGATACATTCAACGTGCGTGCGTGGTGAGCGAGCGGTGCGGAGACGCACGNATATGTAAATATGTGTACATATATGTAAATATATTTACATATAATATATGTAATATAATTGTATTAATATATGTAAATATATATATACATATATATATTACATATACAATTTTTATCATATAATTTATATATACATGCTATATATATTTCCAGACACATAGTTTTTATGGCAATATCTTTCTGGTAATTAATCCACACAACAATGCGGAAGCTTAAGTTTTGAGATACACATGTAAAAGTACAACATATATAAAATATATACTGTACTTATATACATAAGTGGTTTATAAACACTAATTTTTGTGCACTTCTCTCTCTCTCTTGCAACGTTTTAATATACATATACGTATACATGTATGTATATATATTAAATATATATATACATATATATACATATATGTGACTAATATTGCGCACGCACGCACACATACACATGCATGTACACACAAAAAACATCAGATAAATGTCAGAACAATTGATGCAATCAACAGTCTCATCTAAATAGAAAATAATCGAAAGAAAATGATTGTTCTATTCATATAAAAAAGTAATTTCTATTTACATTTATTACTAGTGCTTGGAATAATCGAATATCTGTCCACTCGTTGCACGCGAATATCTACAGAATATTAATTCTATAAATCCAACAAACATCGGGCGGATAAATATCCACACGATTTCTTACTCGATTCTTTTTCCGAGTTCTACTTGTTACAAAAAAATAAGACTTATATACATGAATAGATTCGCTCCTGAATAGTAGAGAAAAGTGAATATATATATGTATATTATACATAAACAAGCAGCATTGGAATATGAATTCCAATTTGTTGCTTGTTTTGCTCAATATATAACGAATATTATTAGAGTTTCTCTTGTCTATCCCAAAAATAACTAAAAAAAAAAAGTATTTATTACTTTTGTGATAAAAAATTATTTGCGACTCAATCCAATATCGATCTGAGAAGTAATGGATTAGATAAAAACGAAACTCAATATATCGTATTAGAAAAAAATTATACAGATAAATCTGGGAAACTGTTTGTTACAACAGCTGCTAATACTACAACAATGTCTACTATACATATAAAGTAAAAAATTCCGTTTCACCAAAAGAGGTAAAATTTATATATTCGAGATATAAAGTGTAAGTATATATAAAATATACCTACACTGTGTACGCGATACGTGCACACGTGTCAATAATAAATTTGTCATTTCATTAGTTCACGCGATTGTTTGTCTCAGCCTTAATTATATAATCCATACAATCTATCTTTTAAAGAATATACAACTATATAGTCTAAAAGAAATAGTTAATGTTTTAAAATATCTGTGTAATTGTTTATAAATGTTTGTAATATATACACACACACACACATTCATAAACAATTTGTAAATACATAGAAAAAATTCGAGTTTAGTTTAGTAGCAATATGAAAGTATTACGTATTGATGGAAAGTAATTTAATTAAAAACAATGAAATAGAGAATTTTGATCAGATTGCTGATTGTATCAATATGTAATAAATATCTCGAAAACAATATGCTAATAATCTATAAATGTGATTCAAACTGTGAATATGATATCTTGCAACTGTACAAAATCATTTAGATGCTATTTGCGCTGAGATATTCTTAAGTTTTTGTTTATAAATTTCTGCTTCCTTCTCTTTTTCCTGTAGTTGCTTGCGATATTCGTCAGCTTGTCTTCGCGCTTCTTCCAATTGCTTAGTCAATACCGCTATATCTGTTATCTGTTTTTCGTTGTTTTCAGAAAAAGAATCCTCTTCAGTAATTTCTTCTATATCATCATCAAGTTGTAGCATAGCTTTCATTGGAGAGATTAGCTTCTGGAATATAGAAAAAAAAGTTTTTCACATCATTTATATATATATACTTTATTAGTAGATTATTAACTTTTTAAATCTAATAATATAAATTTTACCTCTTTTGATGAAACAGAAGTTTTTACTTTATGTATAGCAGATATTGTTGTAGCATTAGCAACTGTTGTAACAAACAGTTTTCCAGGCCTATCAACAGTCCTTTTCAATATATTCGGACTTCGTGTTGCAATAGTGGATGCGTTCGAATTTGGATTTAAAATCTTGGAAGAAATTTGATCTGATCTAATTGCTATAACTTTTCTTGGTGTTTTACCACGCGAGGCAACTTGAAAATGTTTAATTGGCGAACCTTTTGTGGAATTTAAAGCAAGTTTTCCAGCTTCTACAATTATATGTACGAATTATTAGATAAAAAAATTATAAATTAATGTCTCTAAATAATATTCTATCTACAAAAGAATAACGGACCTGTTAAAACTACCGTCCTTCCACTTTCCATCGCATTTTCTACAATAGATGACTCTTCTTCATCAACAGGAATCATTCTGATACCTTCCAACAGTTTAAAATGTTTGTTGAGATTGCCTATCGATGTGATGTCTTTGTATTTTTTAGTGTTGGTGATATTGTTCACAGCATTTATTTCAATATCATCAAATTCTTTTTCGTGTTCAGCATCTATATTATTCGGCGATATAGGAATTTGTTGGAACATCAATTTCTGCTTTTTTCGTTCACTTTCACCTGATACTAAGAGAGATTATTACAAAATTATATATAAAATAAATAAAGAAATATTCACATACAATCAATGCACATACCTTGAGACAACTTATGTTTATGTTGAGGTGTATGTTGCTGTGATATTTCAAATTTCTGTTCTTCAAAATTTCTACTATTGCTTTCCGGCTCCAAATGCACTAAATTATGTGTAGCTATTTCTAATTCCGTAGTATTATTTTGTGGTTGTTGGATACCTACCACTATATCTCTTTCCTGTTGCAATATATCCACTAAGTCTAGCCTATCACATTCTAAGGCAAGGCTGACTGGAGTCTTACTGAATTTACTAGTTGCAGTTCTATCAGCTCCATGATCTAGCAATATATGCATTACATCTACATGTTTACGTTCTACCGCCCAATGCAACGGAGTCATTTTTAACTGAAAAAATTATTTGTTGTATAAAGTCTGCATCATAGTAGGTCTAATTTATATACTTTATTATTATACCATATCTCTGCTATCAACATCTGCTCCGTAATTAAGCAATAGTTGTACCATCTCATGGTGACCTTCATAGGCAGCCATGTGCAAAGGAGTTTTATCAACTTTCGTTCTGGCATCTCTGGATATTCCAGCTCGAAGCAAAACCTCGGCAACTTCTAAGTGATTATTCTGTGCTGCAAAATGAAGCGCACTTGTACCAAGCTGAAAGAAAAATAGCCAAATGTTTATACACACATGTTATAAAAAAACAAAAGATCTTATGCACAAAATATATTCCCTTAGTTTTTACATAAAAGATATATACCCAATCTGTAGTAAAAGGTGCACCCCTACACATGAGCTCACGAACAGATTCAATGTCTCCAGTCTTTGCACTGAGCAAGAGCTTCTTGCCAAGTTCCACTATTGATAACGTATCTTGCGGTCTTGCATGCTGTGAAATATTGTCAAAAAGTTCCACCTGAACAAAGATAACAAATCAATACAAACAAGCTTGAAGAATAAAACAAACATTATATATTGTCATATTAAAATTAAATGGCAGATACTCAGATATTCTGATACACTTTTTGCACAAAAGGAAAAACACTTACTGGAATGAGAGTGTCCGTGTCCAGACCCTCGATGTCATTAGCGCATATGCTTTCAGATTGCATTCTTACGTCAACACAAGCTTAGTCTCCCTCGTGTAAACAGGCTCTAAAATCAATCAAACGATTCGTAACAGCGGCAATCTTCGTGAACATTTTTTCGCGAATGCACGAAAACGGCTCATTTTCGGACACTAGTTGTTCGCCATTCGACCTTGGGCCATCTGAATCCGAAAATGGGCCGTAAGAATAACAAGTCCAAGCGACAAAACGCACGTGGACGTTCCTACACACGTCGCGTCCACGCACAACGTTTATTTTATGAAATGTTTGCATCGCCACAGGATGTTTTTATTTTGCCGTGTCGGGGTCGCGAGAACTTCCTGTTCCTGTTTCATTCGAGCGGAAGTACCGTGCCGTAAGCTCGTGCATTTCGTACCGAAAGAAACTAGCCAAATTAACAACGATCCGTACTTACGACCAGCGCATTATTCTCGCGTGTTTCGCGATTTTTTTGACGTTCCTGCGTGACGACCGTTGGAATTGCCTCCTCGTTACAATCGTGACGAGTTACAACTACAGTAAAGTTTCGTGAAAATGGCGACGCATTGGCGCCATTCCTGGTCTTCGTCCGGCTTCGATGATAAAAAGGCTGCACATGTGTACACGCAATGATAATACAAATACCTTGCGCACAAGATGCAAAACCATGCGCGTTTGCGAGATGTTTAGACCGGATTCAATAAGTAGTTAATTTTTGCATATACTTGCACTTTTTATACTTGTTTCAGCTTTAGAAGCTGTTTTACCATTTACGATTATATATATATATATATATATAACTTAATCGATCGCTTTTTCTATCAGAATTGATCAATCACATTAATCATTTAACAGAATCCATCAGAAGTGACCACTTACAATTTATACTTAGGCCGAGAATACATCGGTTGCGTTCAGACAACTCAACGATTGAGAGATCATCACTTATGATAGGACTATTCTTCAAAATCTGCTGCGGTTCCAAAAGTATGATCCAATCAGAAGTGATTATCTTTCAACCGTTGTGCAACTGTTGAGTTGTCTGAACGCACCCGATCGAAAAACTTACAAGCAACAAACTACTTAGGACAAGTTTCACTTGCTGTTCGCGACGCTCGTGAACGTTACCTATATTTGTTTAACTTTTGATGAAAAACAAGGATAAAATGATTCTATCAGAGAGAAACCTGAGAGCGGCCATCCTATAGTAATTTTTTACGACGGTTTCAGCCGCTGGTTTTAGCCGTATTTCCACAAAAGTGGAACTCAAAGGCCGTTCTACATTAAACGCAAGTCGCAGGTCTCGTGGAACTGATCAATCACGTTGGTAGATTGGCTGATTTGACTCTGCAATTGGTCAATTCCACGAGATCTGCGACTTGCGTTTAATGTAGAACGGCCTTTGAGTTCCACTTTTGTGGAAATACGGCTAAAACCAGCGGCTGAAACCGTCGTAAAAAATTACATTAGGATGGCCGCTCTCAGGTTTCTCTCTGATTCTATGAGTGTTGCGAACGGCAAGTGAAACTTACCCTTATGGCTTAGGGCCTCCGCACAAACTCTTTCTTAACGCGTTACGTTACGTTAAGTACTAGTTTGTGCGTTGAATAAAGTTCAAGTTTACATACAAATTTAAGTTTATGACTAGTAATTAACGTTACGTTACGTTAAATATTAGTTTGTGCGTTGAATGACGTTCAAGTTTACGTACAAATTTAAGTTCATAGCCAACTTAACGTAACGTAACGCGTTAAGAAAGAGTTTGTGCGGAGGCTCTTAGGCTGCGTTCGGGGAGCACGCTATCAGCGCTACTGCGTTATTCTATCTTTGTTTTACATCTAATGAGCAATAAAGATAGAATGATGCAATAGCGCTGATAGCGCGCTCCACGAACGCACCTTAAGAGCCGTCTACAATGGAGAGTTGTAGGCCGTAATAGTAAGAAATTGACCAATCACAGGCAAAGTACAGAAGAATAATCGATTGTGATTTGTCAATTTCTTACTGTTACGGCCTACAACTCTCCATTGTAGACGGCTCTTTAGACAGCTTGGCTTGGTTTGGTGCATATATGGCTCAAAGGACCGCCTCAAGTTAGTCCATACGCCATTCTAAGCTAGACAGCTTGGCTTTTGCTCCTCACCATAGACGTATAATATATAGACTGCGCGTTCCCTACCTTTGCCATGTTAAGGGTCGTCTACAATGGAAAGTTTTAGACCGTAACAGTAAGAAATTGACAAATCACAATCGATTATTCTTCTGTACTTTGTCTGTGATTGGTCAATTTCTTACTATTACAGCCTACAACTCTCCATTGTAGACGGCTCTTTAAGAAAGTGTCTTCAACGTTGAGAGAGACAGCTGGTGTTGAATAGTAGCTTCATCTTTGTCTAGCGAAGTAGAGGAGGAAAAAGAAGTCTTCGCTGATTGATAGAATAGTAGTGGAAAAGTGGGGATAGAAAAATAGTGGGGGTGAAGAAAAGTGAAAGAGATTAAGGAGTGATGGTAGGTTAGGTGGTATGAAACAGTAGGCCCTGATCCCACCACAGACATTGATAGACCAGAGAGAAGCCTGAGAGCGGCCACGGCCATAAGAGTTTCTGTCATAGCTTTTCGTGGACATGGTTCTATTCCGTGCTAAGTTTGTGGACATGGTTTTATTTCGTGCTATGAAAACACCGACGTGGTGGGGATACGCACACAAGCGAGAACCGTCGTCATACATCAACATAAAGCCCCTTGCACAATGGAAGGAATAGCGATAGCAATCAAGAGGCACGGTAGTGCCTCGCGCCAAGTTCACGCGCAACGAAGTTGCGCTCCACTGCGCGAGCACACTGTGCCTATTATACGCGAAACTGATTGCATGTTAGTGGTGGGGAGATTTAGAAATAACACAGTTTTTAACACAGAATTCCAACTCGTCAAAAATTTTATCGCTATTGCTTATTCCGATTTTCTGATCTGCATTGATACATGTGTATTTTTGTATGTTAGATTCCGCTGTTCCTACCTTTATTTTTAAATATAAACTCTTTAAAACTTTTGTTATTTCTATCGCTATCGCTATTCCGTCCATTGTGCAAGAGGATTAATGTCTGCACACATCCGCGAACGCACACAGACAACGGTCTCGCTTGTGTGCGTATCCCCACCACGTCGGTGTTTTCATAGCACGGAATAGAACCATGTCCACAAACTTAGCACGGAATAGAACCATGTCCACGAAAAGTTATGACAGAAACTCTTATGGCCGTGGCCGTTCTCAGGCTTCTCTCTGGTAAACTAGGGCTGTGTTCCGATATTTATTGCCAGTACTAAAATCTATACTTTACGTCACACGTGCTATAGATTTTCAGTACTGGCAGTGAATATCGGAACGCAGCCTAGTTCTCGATGAAGTAACAACGGGAATAACGAAAAAGACAATTCCCATCTCAAACTGCCTACTGCCTTACTGTCAGCCAATGAAACACACGTGTTAAAAAACGCGAAATAATTACCTGTATAGACAAAAATTTTAACTCCAAGAACCTTACTTCTTACCTTATACTGGGCTGTGTTCAGTTAAGCAAGATGGAACGAACTAATGGAGGAAATGCAGGAAATACAGGAATTCATTAGTTCCAATTCCTGTATTTCCTGCATTTCCTCCATTAGTTCGTTCCATCTTGCTTAACTGAACACAGCCCTGCCCTTTGACTATATAATCAGAGAGAAGCCTGAGAGCGTCCGGGGCATAGACTTATATATAAATAGACCCAGCGTTCTGTGAGAGGAGTTGTCCGCGTCTTCTAAAGGACGGAACGATATGCATCCAGGTGCTGTCTCCGTCGCTCCGCCGGTCTGGAGGGGGAACGTCGATGGATAACGTTGAAGGAAAGCGAACTTAAAGGCGCGTGTACCGCACTTATATGTGTAATAGGGTTAGGTTAGGTTACACGGAAAAAGACACAGAAAATGTCTCAGTGTTGCATTTGCAAATCGCATTGTGGCTCCCATGCAGATATTACATTTCATACGTACGTAAATAACTTTGAATTGCAGTAAAAATAGTTACATCTAACCAACAATCTATATATAATAATAGAAACTTTTTTTTCAAGCATACCACGGTCAGAAGAATTTCGAGCAAAACACATATAAGTGCGGTACACGCGCCTTTAAGTTCGCTTTCCTTCAACGTTATCCATCGACGTTCCCCCTCCAGACCGGCGGAGCGACGAAGACAGCACCTGGATGCATATCGTTCTGTCCTTTAGAAGACGCGGACAACTCCTCTCACAGAACGCTGGGTCTATTTATATATAAGTCTATGGTCCGGGGCCATATGATAAACTGTAATGTAATAGCTTTTTCGCCCTGTAAGCCAGCCCTATGTTCATGAGTGGTGCACATTGGCAACTACGTACCATGTTCACGAGCGACTTGTCGGTGCGTGTGCTATGTCCAAATGTGGACATGGTTCTATTCCGCGCTATGTCCACAGCGTGCGGTTCTATTCTGTGCTATGTGCACGAGTCCAAATGGTCACCTTCTTCAGATGTGTGAGTACTCGCGAAAGTGGATTTGATTTACTGTGGAATTTTTAAAATAATCGGTCTTGATCAAAAGATGAGGAAAAAAAAACAGAAAAGGATAAGAAAAAACATTGCAACTTTTCATACAACATAAACGTGATATTCAAGAAAAGATGTAATAGTCAAGAAAATAATATTATTTTTAGCAAACAGAGCATCAGAATTCATGGAGTGTATCATCTCCTTTTACATCATCATTTACTGCTCTTTGCTTTATAAATTTTATTTTATTTTCTTAAAAACACTATGTATATACGTATAGACACAAAACGTGTATATTATACAAAAATGTTTTAACGGTACACAAATATATGTGTCTGGAAAGTTGCAATTTCAAGAAGTATGCCTTTTACTCTGCTTTATATTACAATTGTAATAAACCAGTGAAGTTTTAATACAATTTTCAACGTCATCATTTATTGTGATAAAACTTACATTATAGACGATAGATAGATGATGTATATGTATATAGTTTTTGTTTTATCTTTCAAATATTTTACTATCTTTTCTACTTAACAAATATTTACTAATCAATGACATATATATCAGCACGATGTTTATTTCTTTGTGTTTCTTGTTTGTTTTCTTTTCATTTTTTCTAGTTTTTTTACTCTTTTTTAAATTCTGAAATTAGAAAATTATGTAATTTTTCTAGCATTATCCGGTAACAAATTTTTGATATATCATATATATCATATATACTTGTACATAAATTAAAATTCTTATATTTAATTATGCAAATTTATATGTCGAATATGTCCATACAATTTTATACATGGAGAATTTCTTTTTTTAAGAGAATGTCTTCAGAGATATTCCATATTAAATTACAAAATAACTTTATTAGTATCATGTTAGATACACCAAAATTATATAAAACTATATTTTTCATTATTCAAAGATCACTTTAAAATCACATTGCGTTTGTCGGTCACAATGTGACTATGAAGTGATCTTTGAATAACGAAAAATATAGTTTTATATCATTTTTTTTGTATCTAACATGATACTAATAAAGTTATTTTGTAATTTGATATGAAATATCTCTGAAGCCATTCTCTTAAAAAAAGAAATTCTCAGTGTATAAAATTGTATGGACATATTCGACATATAAATTTGCATCATTAAATATAATAATTTTAATTTGTGTACAAGTATATATATGATTATATATCAAAAATTTGTTAC